CTTATCTCCCAAAGTTAGCTAAATTTGAAAACGATGCAATTCATCTTAAATGTGTATTCGTGTAGGTACAAGTTGTGTTATTACAGGTTTGGTGAGCTGGTCACAGAATACGGCAAGCCATCCGGGTATGTCTCACTTTGCACTTTATGTGTTTGATCTTAAACGCATTCACTTATCAATATGATTAAAATGGTGGGTGGTGAAATTATTGGCAGGTATGATAGAGCAAGAGGAGTGGAGATAGGGAACAAAGACATCAAACTGGAACACTTAGAAGAAGCCTACACAACATCCAACTGGATTGTTCGTATTTACAGAGTCAAACCTCCTACGAACAGGTTGTGACCTTTCCATCTCACAAGAATGGCTTTTAGATAGTGATAGTTTTTATGGAGGAACAATACAATTTCGGATTTTCTTTGGACTTGGTTTTTATGCAGAGACAAGTTTTGTTGCTTTTGATCACACTTGAAAGTTGAAACCTATTTGCATTGGTTTGTGACTTTGTTCATCTTACTTTAAAACAGGTTCTGAAATCTAAATTTGATTAGAAAGATCATCCATGAAGGCTGAAGTGAACATGAATGTTAAAACAAATTAGGGTCGAAATAAGTAATAACCATATAAAAACCAACGAATTATATAATATGGTAGATAAAATCCTCCTGAAATGATTTCGCCTAAGGTCCTCAGCTAATCAAAACTAAAAAAGAAAAGAAAATCAAAACCAAAAAGTTCATCTTCTCAAAGCCAACTGTGAAGCCCTATAAGCCACTACTGCATTCTACCATATGGGTTCCATAGCTGCGGTTGTGGAAGTGGCAGTGACTTCATAGGTTGGACACCGTGGTGGAAGCTGAACGGAGGAGCAGGTGGATATAGTGCTGGTCTTTGAAAAGGAAGTGGTGGTGGCACCATGAAATTAGGGACAGGCATTACAGGTCTTGATCCAAACATAAGATGCGGTTGGAGTGGTTGAAAATTGTAACCTCTGAATGGAGGTCGTGGAGGTAACATTGTCGCGGGACCTCCCGCTTGACTGAAGATAGGATGCTGGTAAGGACTTTGTTGTCGAGTTGACGAAACAACATTCTGCGAATTCACATTACTTTGTTCTTCTTTACGCTGGGCCAAAGAAACATAGATCGGTTTTTTTCCCACCGTTTTCCCATTCATCTCATTCAACTGTTCAAAACCAAAATCATAGTCATTAGTTTCTTTACCAAGAAGGCACCGTAAACAAGAAGAAACTGGTTTACAAACTTACAGCTTCAGCAGGCTTCCTCACTAGTAGAGAACTTAACAAACCCAACACCTTTGCTCAAACCATTCGAGTGGACCATGACCTACACAAATCATAAGATTATTTTAGTTAATTCATGACAACAAAAACAAAAAAACAAAAAATCAAATTTCCGTGCAAATATATTGCATACATACCTTGCAAGAAGTGATGGTTCCAAACTCAGAGAATAACTCTCGAAGCATTTCCTCAGTAACAGAATCATCAAGAAGATTCTTCACATAAAGATTCAAACCCTCAATTCTACTATTCTTCTTCTCTAGCTTGATTTGGTTTCTCAAATCCTCGAGCCTATTCTTCTTCTTATGAGCCCTCCCAACATACAACTCCTTTTCCTCGACTATTATTCCATTCATCTTCTCTACCGCAGTAGCCGCTGATTCAACCTTTTTAAAGTTCACAAACCCCGAACTTTCGAGACTTACCTTATCCATCTCTCATCACCACCGCACTAGTAATCTCCCCAAACACCTCAAAAATCTTCTTCAAATCATCATCTGTTGCAGTCTCCACCAAGTTTTTGACATAAACGTTTGTAAAAACAGGAGACTCGTCCCATTGACGACGATTGACGAAATGACAGACCTGAAGATATTGGTTGCAGACAAAGGCCCCATCGAGAACAATAATGGCGTCTAAAACTGAAGTTTCCGAGTAGAATTGGACAAAACCGTATCCCATGGAAACACCATAAGCGTCACGGGCCACTTTGCAAGAGAGAATTAGTCCGAATGAAGAAAATAAGTGGTAGAGTTGCTTGTTGTCGAAAGACTTGTCCAGATTCTTGACAAACACGTTACCTTTACCACTATTCCTCATGCTTGGATCACGTTTCGAGAACATTATCCTCATCTGTTTTCCCTTCAACTCTTTGAAATTCAGTTCTTTTTCCGCTGTTTTTTCACAAAAAGAATAAAAAAATCAAATATGGAAAGAAAATTCAAAATCTGTAATATACCATTCATAATTTGGTTGAGCGATTATTAAGTTAATCCCCTCACAAAATCATACAAGTTATCAAATCAAACTTAAACTGCTAACAATATTTCGACAAGAAGAAAAACAACTAATAGCTAAATCCTAAACAACAAACGTGATAACATATGCAATTTTAACTTACCATGAGATTTATGGTTGAAATTGACATATGCATAACCAAGAGACGATCCACTCCTTAGATCGCGACAAATTTTAACGGAGGAAACCTCACCAATCTCACTGAATTTGTTGTATAAATCACTATCTTCTACACTTGAATCCAAATCTCCTACGTATAAGGAAAACTTTCCATATATGTTTTCTGAAATCATATCAATATCATTACCTTCAACAGTGAGAATTTTTTTTTTTTGTTTTTCTGTAAAGAAGAAGTGTCCAACGACAAAGGGTAATCTTATATATTTATATCGTAGCCCCTAGTTCCTAATTCTGTATTTCTGTTAGAGTTAGGTATTATTAAGAGTATAATTTTATTTATTTATTTATATTCATAATAAGCAAAAGGGCTTTTAAAGGAAATACACATATCTATAGCAACTAATATGTAAATAAATTAAGATTTGTCTGTTTGATGAAAAAAAAAAGAAGAACATTTGTCTTTCTGTGAGTATTTCTCTCGACGCCGTCGTTAAATTCTTTCCAACCGACGTCGAATCTCCGATAAGTTGGAAGATTCGTAGCTATGACTATCTCCGCCGGAAAACCCGACTCCGGCGGCGATTGCCGAGATTGGGAATCCGCTACAAGAACCGAATTAGAGTCTCTCCGTAATCGCGTCAAGGTAGAATCTTCGCTGCTTCAAATTTTCTGCTCTAAGCTTTTTTGTTATTGGAACGATTCAAGTACACAGTTCTTGAGGTTGAATTTTGAAATTGTTTTCAATCTACACAGTACCACAAAGTCGTTGATCTACTCCATGTTTATTCTATATATATCACCAGGAATTAGAGGCGGAAAATGCTAAATTGTTGACCCAGATTTCAAGCTGCCAATGCCAACAGGTGAACAAGAGATTCTTACCCTCTATTTGACTTGACAATGTTTTTGGTTAGAAACTGGCAAGAATCTACATGTGTTCGATGTTTACGATTGTAGATGGAAGTGAAGCATGATGTGTCTGTGCTAGATTCTGGCAGCTTAGTTAGGAGAAGGAGGAGAAGTAGAAAAGGAAATGATACTATCTTACCGAGCCATCTTATCTCAAAGAGATTTATTGCTCTAAAAATCATGTATTTTGGTAAGAGGTATGCCATATGTTTTTTAGGTTACTTCTTTTCCCTACACCATGTCATTGTCCCTACTCGTGTAAATGAATTAACTGTTTTTGTTGTCACAGATTTTATGGCTTTTCAGCTGAAGCACAAATGGAACCAAGTATTGAGGTGTGGTTGTGTTCTCTTTATTTTTTTTGTTTACGAATGACTAATTTGCGTTTACACATTGAGTAACTTGTGTGTTTTTTCATGTAGTCAGAATTTTTTAAAGCACTTGAAAGGACACGGCTTTTAGTTGGTGACAAGAAGGATTGTTCGTACTCGAGATGCGGGAGAACTGATAGAGGTGTTTCGTCGACAGGGCAGGTGGCTTGCTTGGGCATCTCTTGATTGTTTTGACTTAGTTTCTCTTGCATTTTACGCCTTATAATTTCTTTGATCTCACTTGGAAATCCTTTTTAGATTACTGGTTGTCTGTAGCAAATGATCTTGTGTATCAATGATATATCTCCCATGGAATCATCAAATTTCATCAGTTTAGGAATTCATTTCTCATCGTGCTGGTGCTCTTCCAAAGCAATAGCATTGTAATAGGAACATTTCCTAATGTCTCTGAGGTAGGATTGTGGAAGCAGTGCTCAAATACGCATTCGATTGTTGATGCAGGTGATTGCTTTGTTTTTAAGATCCAGACTGAAAGCACCTCCTGGAGACTCTGAAGCCCATCTTGATGGGAAAATGGGCGAGAGTAAGTTCACTCTGAGTATCCGATACATTTTAGTGGTTTCCCCCCTCGTAGTGGTGTTGATGTAATTCTCTGCGCTCTTTTGTTTAGGAGAATATGACTATGTAAGAGTGCTGAATCGTGCTCTCCCTGATGACATCCGAGTTTTGGGATGGTCTCCTGTTCCTATTGACTTTCATGCAAGGTCTGTGTATTACCTTTTTTGAATTCTTTCCGCCCTTCACACTCCAGAATACTTTGGGAACTATTTTTGGATGGGGCATGCTTACCTTTTTTTTTTGCCTTGGGTATAGATTCAGTTGCTCTGCTAGAGAATACAAATATTTCTTCTGGAGGCAAAACCTGGATCTTTCGGTGCAGTGATCCTCTACACTTGTCATTAAAGTCAAAGCACTTCAAAATTGAAACAATGTAGATGCTTATTTTGATTTGTATTTTCCTCTAGGCCATGGACATTGCTGGTAAGAAGTTTGTTGGGGAGCATGATTTCAGGAACTTTTGCAAGATGGATGCCGCAAACGTGCATTGCTACACACGGCGTGTTACTTTCTTTGAAGTCTCTCCTTGTCAAAATAGGTTGGCTTTGGTAAAGAGCGCATATAAGCACTCTGTTTATGACTGCTGACTGCATTTGTATTCTTAAAGTGATACAGGATGCTATAATAGCATAAAGGCTAAGGTCAAATAAGAATATTGCTTCTGACCACCAGGCACTAGGGTTTTGTAATGGTAGACTATTAGGATTATAGGGTTATGACTATTAAATTTGATAAGAGTTTTAAGAGGAGACACCAGTCTTGTTCTAGAAATCACAGGAACAAGAAAAATTATGCATCCTCTTGGGCACAATCGCACCCCATTGTTGAACTCACACCTGTCTTTCTGACCATTTATTTTGTAATTTTTTGTCTATTGGACCTAAAACCGCACATGTACTTGCTCGTTTTTCTTGTGTAGTCACGAGGGTGATCAGCTTTGCACATTCACAATGAGAGGTAGTGCTTTTCTGTGGCACCAGATCCGCGCCATGGTCGCGGTACTATTCATGATCGGACAGGGTGTTGAATCGGCTGATGTAAGTTCTAGAACGCCTTAAAAGTTTGTTTGAATTCCTTTTGCAGCTCAATCCAACCCTTACGCAGGGGTTCATATATGTTAGACTATCTTACGAATCTGAGGGTACTTGCCCAGGTGATAGATACATTGTTGGACATCGAGAGAACGCCAAGAAAACCTCAATACCTCTTGGCCTCAGAGATACCCTTAGTCCTCCGCACATGTGAATACGAAAATGTTGACTTCATATGTTCTCCAGGTAATAAAGCTTGATCAAATTATGCTGGGAGTGGTTTCATTTCCAGAAGCTATGATAATAACAACCACTTTTCATGTCTAAAGGCGCTGCAGAGTCACTGCGGTCTCATTTCAAGAATGAGTCGCTTACATACCAATTAGAGTCTGTGATTTTCCAGGAAGCTCTCCGTAACTGTGTACCTCTGGGTAATGGTAAAATCAGTTTCTCCTTTACCCTTAGTAGTAGTAGCATGAGTTCCATGAAAGAGAGGAAAAACTCAAAATTTCATTTTTCGCATCGCTTAGCAAATTGCGTTTGTATTTTTTGCCGAGACAACAGAGAAAAGCTCATGCAATGGCGTAGAAAAAAAGAAGAAAGCCGCAATACATGCTCCTTTATTATCTCGACCAACTGAGCGTGAGTCTCAATATCTCCCCACAAAATGTAAAGGATGCGAAGATGGAGAGCTCATGTATGATCCTCTCGTTTTTTGTTTTTGTTTTTGCAGCTTCGTATGAAGAACGAAATGCGAAGTTGAAATCCAGAACACCGGAAACATGTACTGTCTAGCCTTGTGGGATCTCGATGACCATTAAAGAATAGAAAGTTTATTATTGTTGTAACTTGTAACAGTTGATTTTGGAGGCTTTATTGATTGATGATTAACAAACTTGATTAGTGTTAAAACGTAGTGTTATTCAAAATTTGATTGAAAATATCTCTGGCTGGATTTGATAACAATGTGTCTGTATTAGGAAGAAGATGATGTCGGAAAACCAAAAACCAAAAAACAAAAACGAACCAAACCGGTGGTCAGAATAAGATTTGTGTAACAAGGACCAAAATCGTTTTTGGTTGCAGCGTCAATGGAATGGCTCGTGTTTACATGGAAACACTAATACAGAGATGCGTCACCTTCTCCCAAATCAAACAGCTCCAATCTCATTTTCTCACCGCCGGCCATTTTCAGTCTTCTTTTCTCCGTTCTCGTCTTCTCGATCGTTGCTCTGTTTCTTCCTTCGGAGACCTTTCCCACGCCGTTCAGATTTTCCGGCACATTCCTAAACCTTTAACCAATGATTGGAACGCAATCATCCGCGGATTCGCCGCCAGTTCTCAGCCTTCGCTCGCGTTTTCATGGTTTTGTTCCATGTTGCGTCAAGCTTCGTCATCGTCTATGTGTAGAGTCGACGCTCTCACTTGCTCTTTCACTCTTAAAGCATGTGCGCGTGCGCTCTGTTCCTCCGCTACGGCGCAGCTTCACGGACAGATTAACCGTCGTGGATTGTTTGCCGACGCACTTCTTTGCACCACGTTGCTCGATGCTTACTCTAAAAACGGAGATTTAAGCACCGCGCAGAAGCTGTTCGACGAAATGCCTGTGAGAGATGTAGCGTCGTGGAACGCGTTGATTGCTGGATTAGTGGCTGGGAATCGAGCTAACGAAGCGTTGGAACTGTATAAACGAATGGAAACGGAAGGAATCAGTAGAAACGAAATCACTGTTGTTGCTGCTTTGGGAGCTTGTTCTCACCTTGGTGCTATTAAGGAGGGTGAAAAGATCTATGATTACATTAAAGACGCAAACTTGGATCAAAATGTGATTGTTGTCAACGCCACGATCGATATGTACACGAAATGCGGGTTTGTAGATAAAGCATTCCAAGTTTTCGATCAAATGACAAGCAAGAAAAGCGTTGTTACATGGAACACTATGATCATGGGGTTTGCAGTGCACGGAGAAGCGCAGAGAGCGCTAGAGATCTTCGAGAAACTGAACCACAATGGAATCACGCCTGACGATGTCTCGTACCTAGCTGCTCTGACCGCGTGCAGACACGCAGGATTAGTGGAGTACGGTACATCCATATTCAACAACATGGCTTCTAACGGAGTCGAGCCTAACATGAAACACTACGGTTGTGTAGTCGATTTGTTAAGCCGTGCAGGAAGGCTGAGAGAGGCTCACGATATTATATGCTCAATGCCGATGCTTCCAGATCCTGTTTTATGGCAAAGCCTTCTTGGAGCTTCAGAGATTCATAAGAACGTTGAAATGGCTGAGATAGCTTCTAGGAAATTGATTGAAATGGGTGTTAACAATGATGGTGATTTTGTGTTGCTATCGAACATTTATGCAGCGCAGGGACGGTGGAAGGACGTAGGACGAGTGAGGGATGACATGGAAACCAAACAAGTGAAGAAAGTTCCCGGTCTTAGCTACATTGAAGCCCAAGGAACAATTCATAAATTCTACAACAGCGACAAGAGCCATCAACAGTGGAGAGAAATTTATGAAAAGATCGACGAAATCAGGTATATAATAGTAGCTTTTAACAAAGCAAACATCTATCAGCATAGATTTACAATATCTAATGCTTTTGGATTTACTTGGTCTTTCGAGATTAGGTTCAAGATAAGGGAGGATGGTTACGTGGCGCAGACGGGACTCGTTTTGCACGACATTGGAGAAGAAGAGAAAGAGAACGCTCTGTGTTATCACAGCGAGAAGTTGGCGGTGGCGTACGGACTGATGATGATCGATGGAGCGGAAGAGGAGAGTCCGGTGAGGGTGATAAAGAACCTGCGGATATGTGGGGACTGTCACGTTGTCTTCAAACATACCTCAAAGATTTATAAGAGAGAGATCATTGTTAGAGATCGAGTTCGATTTCATAGGTTCAAAGATGGTTCTTGTTCTTGCAGAGATTATTGGTGACAATTACAAAACTAAAACGCCATAAGGCTAACAACATGAAAGTGATATATGTTCTTTTTACCAGAAAATCAAATATGTTTACTTCTATCTACGTGATATGTCTCTTCCCTGTTTTATTTTGGGAATTTTGTGGGAGGATCTTTGTAATTATGGGTCTTGTAATTATGTGGACTTATCGGTTTCGTTATATATAATCTTTCAGATGAAAAAAAAAAAAAATCTACGTGATATGTAAATGAACCTTAAAAAGTTAGAACGAAAGAAACAAGAAAATCTACCTAACAACTGTCATAATAAATGCATTATTGACGAGGTTTATGGTAAAAATTATACGTTATTGAGTCTTTACTACCATGTGTTGGTGAACAGCCAAAGGTTTCTCAGATGTATATTTTTGACACAGCAAACGAAGTTAAAATCGTCTCTATGTGACGGGTAGAGATAATAATGATGAGCTAGATGAAAATATTGTATCCACAGTTAATACAGATGGTTGATGAATTCAATGTCTAAGCGAAAGTATTTCGAAAAGAAAGAGATAGATAAGAGAGTATTGGACATGAAAATCTAACACATTTTATGATTTATAAATGAGTTCGTCAAAATGGTTATAAGTGAAGATGTATAAAAACGAAACGTGACGTTATAGAGAGTTAACATCTAACACATTTAACATAATTATTATGGTTTAAATTGAGAAGGTAAAGAGATGAAAAGATATGATTTTGCTTGTTTATTGAACCATTAAAAAACTTTTACAAACGATGAAAGAAAAGCAAGCATATACAAATATACCAATTAAGAAATTATACAAATTTGATTAAAAAATATATCAAATATAAAATATGGTCATTGCTCCGACCGTCCACTCAATTCAGACAATTTTGAGGAATCATCTTGCCACGTGCAGAACCGTCAATATTCTCGCACACTGCAGTAGAAGGACCACCCTCGACTCCATTATGCTTTAGGTTAATGTCAATTAGCTCAACATTCTTGCACGGAAAGCTTTTGCTACATTGCAAATTCACTGCTACTTTATTCTTAGAGGTTCCATATATGTTCTTTAATTTAAGGTCTTTGATCTGAACGTGAGATTCTCCCTGAATTGAATAACGAAAAACATTTTTGTTTTGATTGTTTCTTGTGATGAAAGAAAAGAAAAAGAAACATGTTTCATGAGTAGCAGTCTAACCTTTTTTTCACAAGGCGGGTAAGGACAGTACTTCTGATCGATGTTGATAGGTTTCCCAACATTAATCATTTGAATATTCTCATACACGAAGTTAGAAACAATGATCTTCGAAGCAGAAGATTCCCATGTCTTGATCCGAATACCATCGCTTGTGCCGTTAAAAACAATGTCCCTCACCGTTAAGCCCTGAACATCTTTCTCATCTTTGTTCTTTCCTAAGCTTCCAACACTGATACCATGTCCAGGACCACAATTGACGTTCGAGATATTAACGTTAGATGTCCCAGAGAGAATGGCGATACAATCGTCTCCGGTACCGATGTGTGTGTTGGAAATGTGAATGTTGCTTGAGAAACCGAACTTGATACCGTCGGTGTTGGGGCTATCGCCAGGAGCTGTAATAGTAACATCGGTAATGTTGAAGTGATGTACGGAGAAGAAGTTGAAGTGTCCCATTTTGCTATTGAGTGATGTTATCCCATTGATTCTTGAGTTGTTTACGAATGCAAATCCCATAGTCTATGAAAAATTTCAAGTTTATAAAAAAAATTAGTAAGAGAAGTATCATAATATATGATTTATAATGTTGTTTAAATGTAAAAAAAATCATTTTTAAAAAATAAAGCAATAAATAAAAATGTTTTAGAAATGGTACCATGGCTAGTTTAGGACAATTTGTGTTTTTGTGGCAGTCATTAAGTGGCCAAGACTGCTTTCCTTGACCGTCGAGTATACCACAACCAGAGATAAATAGATTGTTGATGTACCTGAAGTTGATCCATGTGTCTTGCTTAATGTCGCTAGGGTTTGCAGGAGCCAGTAACGTTCCATCGATGACGAATTCAATCTGGTTTTTGCATGGACCAATGAATTCTACACCACCGAGATAGAATGTTCCTTTTGGTACATAGATTTTACTACTTCCATCTCTTCTTTCACATGCATTTTTCCATACTTTTGTGAATGCCTAATATTGCATTCATTAAAAGCATTGTAAGTTACTTACAAGTCAAAATTTCTGATGAATAGTTTGAAGAAAAAAATTGAAAAAGTATATTATGTGTTTATAACTCATTTTAGTTTATGATATACATCTAAATTTTCATATTAAAACCAAATGGTAGTAAAGAAGTAAAAACTACTTTCTTATAAAGAATTATATTAGGTCTATTCTCAATTTTGCTTAAATATAGAATTACTAACAGATAATCTCAAATTAATATCAACCTAAAAAATAAATTTAGAAGAGGCAGTGTTTATTTTAACAACACATTGATTTAGGGGTCAATTTGTTGAATATCAATAAAAATTTATATATAAAAAAGTAACAAAAAACCCTAAATCTAATGGTCAAGATGTTGCCACCTAGAGAGATTTTGGTTACTTTGTTAAATATAATTTTTTTATTGCTATTCTACAAAATTATCCCTTGATTTAGTTGGTTCTTTCAATCTATATATATAATTGCAAAGTTTTATCTCCATCTAAGGTGTCCACATAGGCAAAACATTT